GGATCCCCACCAGTTGGGGAACCCGAAAAATCATATATTTTCTGGATGCGACCTCTCCTTCAGGAGTTAGGCCATGGTGTATCTTGCAATTGTTGGCAAATAGCCAATTGAGCATTGAAGCTCAAATTTGAAACTGACCTCAAATTCGAAAAGTAAACATATATTCAGGATCCCCACCAGTTGGGGAACCCAAAAAATCATATGTTTTCCGGATGCGACCTCTTTTTCAGGAGTTAGGCCACGGTGTATGTTGCATTTGTTGGCAAATAGCCAATTGAGCATGGAAACACAAAATGTGAAACTGACCTCAAATTCGAAAAGTAAACATATATTCAGGTTCCCCACCAGTTGGGGAACGCGAAAAATCATATGTTTTCCGGATGCGACCTCTCCTTCATGAGTTAGGCCACGGTGTATCTTGCATTTGTTGGCAAATAGCCAATTGAGCATGGAAACTCAAAATTTGAAACTGACCTCAAATTCGAAAAGTAAACATATATTCAGGTTCCCCACCAGTTGGGGAACCTGAAAAATCATATGTTTTCCGGATGCGACCTCTCCTTCAGGAGTTAGGCCACGGTGTATCTTGCATTTGTTGGCAAATAGCCAATTGAGCGTGGAAACTCAAAATTTGAAACTGACCTCAAATTTGAAAATTAAACATATATTCAGGTTCCCCACCAGTTGGGGAACCCGAAAAATCATATGTTTTCCGGATTCGACCTCTCCTTCAGGAGTTAGGCCACGGTGTATCTTGCATTTGTTGGCAAATAGCCAAATGAGCATGGAAACTCAAAATTTGAAACTGACCTCAAATTTGAAAAGTAAACATATATTCAGGTTCCCCACCAGTTGGGGAACCCGAAAAATCATATGTTTTCCGGATGCGACCTCTCCTTCAGGAGTTAGGCCCCTGCGTATCTTGCATTTGTTTGGCAAATAGCCAATTGGGCATGGAAAGTCAAAATTTGAAACTGACGTCAAATTCGAAAAGTAAACATAGATTCAGGTTCACCACCGGTTGGGGAACCTGAAAAATCATGTTTTCCGGATGTGACCTCTCCTTCAGGAGTTAGTCCCCTGTGTATCTTGCATTTGTTGGCAAATAGCCAATTGAGCAAGGAAAGTCAAAATTTGAAACTGACCTCAAAATCGAAAAGTAAACATATATTCAGGTTCCCCACCAGTTGGGGAACCCGAAAAACCATATGTTTTCCGGATGCAACTTCACCTTCAGGAGTTAGGCCACGGCGTATGTCGCATTTTTTGGCAAAGAGCCAATTGGGCATAGAAAGTCAAAATTTGAAACTGACCTCAAATTCGAAAAGTAAACATATATTTAGGTTCCCCACCAGTTGGGGAACCCAAAAAATCATATGTTTTCTAGATGCGACCTCTCCTTCAGGAGTTAGGCCAGGACTTATCTCGCATTTGTTGGCAAATAGCCAATTGGGCATGGAAAGTCAAAATTTGAAACTGACCTCAAATTCGAAAAGTAAACATATATTCAGGCTCCCCACTGGTTGGGGAACCCGAAAAATCATATGTTTTCCGGATGCGACCTCTCCTTCAGGAGTTAGTCCAGGACTTATCTCGCATTTGTTGGCAAATAGCCAATTGGGCATGGAAAGTCAAAATTTGAAACTGACCTCAAATTCGAAAAGTAATCATATATTCAGGTTCCCAACCAGTTGGGGAACCCGAAAAATTATGTGTTTTCCGGATGCGACCTCTCCTTCAGGAGTTAGGCCAGGCCTTATCTCGCATTTGTTGGCAAATAGCCAATTGGGCATGGAAAGTCAAAATTTGAAAGTGACCTCAAATTCGAAAAGTAAACATATATTCAGGTTCCCCACCAATTGGGGAACCTGAAAAATCGTGTTTTCCGGATGAGACCTCTCCTTCAGGAGTTAGACCACAGTGTATCTCGCATTTGTTGGTAAATAGCCAATTGAGCAAGGAAAGTCAAAATTTGAAACTGACCTCAAAATCGAAAAGTAAACATATATTCAGGTTCCCCACTAGTTGGGGAACCCAAAAAATCATATGTTTTCCGGATGCAACCTCTCCTTCATGAGTTAGGCCAGGACTTATCTCGCATTTATTGGCAAATAGCCAACAAATAGCCAATTGAGCATGGAATGTCAAATTCACAGAAAAGATGTTGAGAGTATTTAATAAAAATTCAGAAAAGAGCAACTAAGATGATCAAAGGCCTGGAAACTAAAACATACGAAGAACGGCTGCAGGAATTGGGTCTGGCTAGTCTAAAGAAAAGAAGAAAGAGGGGAGACATGATAGCAGTATTCCAGTAATTGAGGGGCTGCCACAAAGAAGAGGGAGTCACATTATTCACCAGAGGGCAGGACAAGAAACAATTAGAAACTGATCAAAGAGAGAAGCAACCTTCAGTTAAGGAGAAACTTCCTGACATTGAGGACAATCAACCAGTGAAACAGCTTGCCTCCAGAAATTGTGGGCGCTCCATCACTGGAGATTTTTAAGAAGAGGCTAGCCCAGGGGTAGGCAACCTTGGCTCTTTTATGACTCGTGGATTTCAACTCCCAGAATTCCTGAGCCACCCATGCTGGCTCAGGAATTCTGGGAGTTGAAGTCCACGAGTCATAAAAGAGCCAAGGTTGCCTACCCCTGGGCTAGACAGTCACTTGTTTGAGATGGTATAGGTTCTCCTGCTTGAGTGGGGGGCTGGACTAGAAGACTTCCAAGGTCCCTTCCAGCTCTATTCTATTCTATTTCTGTAACTTATTTCTTATTATATTTTTTATGGGAGAGACACTCTTTCTCCTGACTCCTCTGATGAGACCTGTCCAGTATCGTTGAACCTCTGGCATAGTTCCCATCTTCCTCAGAGCACATAAGCCCCACAATCATATCAAAATAGTATCTCACTGGGGGATTATTATAACTATATACATAAACATGTGAAATCACAGCTTCTACTTCTTTAGGAGGTGTTGGCCTTATGCATCAAATTCTTCCCAAGAATCTAGGAGGTTGTAATCTATCAGTATAGTATATATGCAGATCCATATACGNATGGAAATTTTGTCAATACACAGATATTCTAAGTGCTATCCAAGATTTTTTGGTACGCCACACAATGTGCCAATAACCACTGAAACCACCACACCTGGTTTATGCCATCATCTTTCAAATTCAATTTTTAGATCTTGATATCTTGTGACCTTTTCAAATTCTTTGTCTTCTTCTTCCTTGTATTGCCTCATCACCTATTCATACTTTATTCTTTTAAAGCAAACTTAAAATCTGATGTGTTATGAGCAGATTTGGATAATCTACAGAGTCATAAAGATTGGTGAAAACTTAATAATTCAAATCCAACCAAGGACCGAAGAATTATTATCAGAATAATCATCTGTTCATCTCACAGTAAGCCAAGGGTGTATTTATTTATTTATCAAATTTATTTGCCGCCCATCTCACAGCTCAGACGACACTGGATTTTAGTATTTTTATCCACTTAACGAGTAATTCCCAAAGACCTGGGATAGACAGACATGGTTGTTTGGTGCTTTTAAAGATATCGTAGCAGGATATAAATTGTTCCATGAAAAGCTGCCTTTTTACAATTTATTAATATTATGAAGCAGAGCTATAAAGGCCTTGAAAAAGCATGTTCTTTCCGCCAAACGAAAAAAATGCGGTTGAAAACATTTAGGAGAGGAGTGTAGCCGAAAACACACCCGCAACTCGTTCCTCAAGCAACGCTTCTCTTTCTTTTTATCCCTTGGCCAAAGTATTTCCGGCCGCTGTCTAAGGGCAAGGAAGCACTTCCGCTGAAATCTTGTTCCGGGGATCTAAGATGACGGAGGAGGAGATATTGTTGCGGTACGGTACGAAAGTGCGAAGTTGGATGCTCATGGCGGATTGAATAACGGCCAGCGGAACGCCCCAGAGAGGGCCTGTAGTCTCGTATCCTATGCCTCCGCCGTTTGGGTAAGTTGGATAAGTAGACTAGCCTTACTGCGTTTGGTAGAGAAGGCTTTGGGACAGGTCTTCGCTTTGGTTGCGAAGGGCATGGTTCGGCGTGTGTGTGTGTGTGGGGAGGGGGAGACGAGCTGTAGGTTAGGCCAAATCAGCGAGGTGTAGACGGGGAAGGGGCAGCCAGTCTCTCCACTGGCCAAAATCGGGAGTCGGTGACCCATGTGTCCTCCTCCCACCCCCGCCCACACTCACCATAGGCTGGGTAAACCTGGTACTGTAGTTCTTCATAGCGGGTTGTGGGACTCACCACCGAAACGGAAGTTGTCCCTATTAAGCTTTCCCGGTTTCTTCTAACTATTCTGTTTGACTTTTCCTGATGCTTTAATGATTACGACACCAAAGCAGATAGTTCTTCCCTTTCCTTATAGGCAACAAAAGCAATCTTGCTTTCGGCATATAATTTAGGGAAGGTAATCCGAATCTAAGATGGTAATCAGTAGAATACAAGTTTGACAATACTGATTTGAAATATGTTGGCTTTTTTTCTTTTCTTGCCTTTCTAAATTAGCTTTTATTAGTGTTGAACAGATGAGTTACTTCCCAATGCTCAACTGAAGAGGTGACCATATAACATATTCCTGAATTACACATTCTCTCTATATTTTTTAAAGTTTTGGTATAAACATCTTAAGCATTGCTGGAGGAACCATGGACTTTTCTCTGGTTCTTTTCTCTCCCATATTGCAGGTTTTTAAAATATCTGAACTTGTCTTGTGCAAAGATTTGCACATACATGGTCTTTTAACTGCTATTAACAGGGAATGAAAATTAATTGCTTAAAGAAGTTGAGTGGATTATAATACTTGCCTCATTGTTTGGCCTTTGTAGGTGACCTGACATTCCTTAAAACCTCCTCCTTCCTCCCTCCCCAGCCCAATTGAGTTGGATACAGAACAGTAAACATCTGTGCAGGATTTGAGATTTGCTATAGTTAGGAAGATGATTTGAATATAAGACATATTTGCAGATATTTATATTTAATAATGTTGAGCTGTTATATCTCTACAGCAGCTTCCTTAGTGTTTTTGCCTTTGATTTTGTAGTTCTACTTCCCCAGCAATGCACATGAAGCTTTCATCTCAACCTGTCAAAGAGGACATAGTCTCCATTAGTCTCAGTTGTTAAATGAATTCCGTGTCACCCACCTCAGTGCAGTACTTAAGCCAGGAAGAGTTGCACCATTCAGATGGAAGGCAGTTTTTTAATCCCCGAGCCAGCAGCCAGGGAGGGAGCTATCCAGGGTTTTTCTCCAGAAGTGCCACCTGCAGCCAGTATAGCGAACCTGATGAAGTGGACAAGATCAAGAGCAAGCTCCTCTCTACCTGGAACAATATGAAATATGGTAAGTTCAGATTATAGAAACTGCATGGGAATGGGCAGATCTTATCACTGTTCAGTAGTCCCCAAAGTAAACCTTGATCTTGAGAAATACAGATTTTAAAAAAATCTAACAGCTGTAAAGTACTTCATCAGCTGGGCGTCCTACATATTTCTCCTTTTCTCTTTTATGCCCTTGGAATTTTCAGTGAAATTCTCAATATATTTTGTGATTTAAAATCAGGAGACCTGTGTTTTCTTAAGTTTCACACATAAAATTAATTCATTTGTCTTTCAAGATATATTTAAGTTCCTACTTCCTTTAGAGGCCTAATTGTTAGCCTTTAAAAATGTAGGTTTACAATTTAGTTATCTACAAAGATATCTGTCTCTAAAGATTTGTAAAAAAACCAAACTATTGTAGCCGTTGTGTTCTGTAATCTCTCTGAAACTATTCAAAATTAGATAGATTTTTCAGAGTTTGAATTTTTAAAAGAAAAAAATATTTAAGCCTGTCATTCTACTCTACTACTTTGATGTCCATGAAACCCAGAAACCTGGTCTGAAAATTTCAGTCTACCATTTCTCTGACACTGCCTGACATGATTATTGTAGTACCCCCAATGAAGCAAAAAAAATCAAAGTTGCCAACTGTAAACTATTGATGTTCACAACAACGCTAAGCAATAAACCATGATTTCTAAGGCACATGACTGAGCCCTCACCATGTCCTGACACAAAATAAAAACACTTTATTTTAATGAGAAGTGTAATTGCAGATTACAAGAACGATTTGTATTTGTATTTTTACAAGTAGTTTTGTGAATAAATCTGAATAGGTTGGAGAAAATTATTTGTTTAGGAGAATAAATTCTGTTCCTATTTTTCAGTTCCTATTTTTCCACATCAGCTATGGTAGTGAAGCTGACTTTTTTTGTAACCTTTAGCTGATAGGACATACTGCCCACTGTTATTTTCTTGAAGATAATTTTTGATGAAGAGTTTGTGGTCTGAGTTAGTGAAATAACCCACTAGCGAGTGAATGAAATACATTCATTGATATGTGTATAGATGTATATGTATTTCATTTGGCCTTCCATATACTACTGAATGACAGATGAGGGAATAGAAGGGGAACTCATAAAATTTGCGGATGACACTAAACTGGCAGGAAAAGCCAACACCCCAGAAGACAAGCTCAGGATCCAAAAAGATCTTGACACACTTGAACAATGGGCCCTATCCAACAAAATGAATTTTAATGTGGAAAAAAGCAAAGTTTTACATTTAGGCAGGAAAAATCAAAGGTATAAGTACAGATTAGGCGAGATATGGCTCAAAAACAGTAACTATGAGAGGGACCTTGGAGTCCTAGAGGACAATCACTTGACTATGAGCCAGCAGTGTGCAGCAGTAGCCAAAAAAGCTAATACAATTCTGGGTTGTATAAACAGGCATAGAATCAAGATCATGAAAAGTATTAGTACCACTTTATAAAACCCTAGTAAGACCACACCTGGAATACTGCAAACAGTTTTCATCACCATAGTACAAAAGATATGTTGAGACTTTGGAAAAAGTTCAGAGAAGAGCAACTATGATCAAAGGCCTGAAGACTAAAGCACATGAAGAATGGCTGCAGGACTTGGGTTTGGCTAGTCTAAAGAAAAGAAGAAATAGGGGTGACATTATAGCAGTATTCCAGTATTTGAGGGGATGCCACAAAGAAGAGGGCATCAAACTATTCTCCAAAGCACCAGAGAGCAGGACAAGAAACAGTGGTTGGAAACTGACCAAAGAGAGAAGCAACCTGGAATTAAGGAGAAACTTCCTAACAGTGAGGACAATTAATCAGTGGAACAGCTTGCCTTCGGAAATTGTGGAGGTTTTCTCACTGGAGGTTTTCAAGAAAAGACTAGACAGACTCATGTCTGAAATGGTATAGGTTCTCATGCTTGAGCAGGGGGCTTGACTAGAAGACCTCCAAGGTCCCTTCCAGCTCTATTCTATTGTATTCTATTTATCTGAGAGAGAGGATGGATGGATGGATCTTTGCCTTTAAAAATCTGAGATTGCCAACATTCCCTACATTGTACATTTTATGTATTCTATTATAATGTATTGCTTTTTAAGAAACTGTTACTTCTTAATCTGCCATTCTTGTACCTGCTGATATCATTGTGATTTAGATCCTCACTGGCTCAAGGTTGACTCAGCCTTTCAGCCTTCTGAGGTTCATAAAATAATGACCCAAATTGTTGGGGGCAATATGCGGACATTATAAACCACCTGGAGAGTGCGGTAAAGCACTATGGAGCAGTATATAAGTTTAAGGGCTATTGCTATTGCATTTGGTCTTTCCTCCAGGAGCTCATGGTGACATACAGTATATATAATTTTCTCCTCCCATTTTCCCTCAATTAAAACCCTGTAAAATAGGTTGGACTATTCCAATATAATCCAGGCAGTTCGCCATTCTATGACTGAGGATGGACTTCAATTTGGCCTTTGTAGATGACGTAAAAATGGCCTTAAAGGACAGGAGAAGAGTCACTAGTAAGGCAATGCTGAGATAAGCAGGGCTTGAGCCCAGGCCAAGAAACTAAGTTGAAAAAAGTCTCAGAAAAGAATTTCCCAAATTCACATGAAGATAAAGGGAGGGAGAAGAAAGCACATTCAGAGTTTCAAGATTCTGTTACTACAACTTTATGATAAATACTGTCCTAACTTATATGGCATTGGTTTCATACTCTGATCCACCTTGTAGGGTTCACTGTTTCCCTGCTCAGGTGCAGAACTTTCATCCTTCTACTAGTAATGTTTCCCTCCCTATGTGTTTTTAAAGCTATGGGAGAATTCTTAACAGAATAGCGGAATATTGGAAGGGACGTTGGAGATCTTCTAGTCCAACCCCTGCTCAAGGAGAGGCTATATCATTTCAGATAAGTTGCTTTTTAGACTCTTCTTAAAAGCCTCTGGTGATGGCGCACCCACAACTTCTAAAGGCAAGCCGTTCCCTGGTTTATTGTTCTCAGTGTCAGGAAATTGCTGTCAGGAAATTTCTTAGTTCTAGGTTGTTTCTTTCCTTGATTAATTTCCATCCATTGCTTCTTGTCTTGCCTTCTGGTGCTCTGGAAAATAGGTTGAACTCCCCTCTTTGTGGCAGCCCCTCAAATATTGGAACATCACTATCATGTTGCTGCTAGTGCTTCTTTTTACTAGGCTAGAAATACTCAATTCCTGCAACAATTCTTCATATGTTTTAGCCTCCATCCCCTAATCATCTTTGTTACTCTTCTCTGCACTCTTTCCAGTATCAACATATTTTTTATATTGTAGTGGCCAAAACTGGATGCAGTATTCCAAATGTGGACTTATAAAGGCCTTATAAAGTGGCACTAACACTTATGTGATTTTGATTCTATCCCTCTAATAATGCAGCCTAGAGTTGCATTGTCCTTTTTGGTGAGTACAGCACACTGTTGGCTCATATTTAAGTGATTGTCCACTAGGATTCCAAGATCCCTCTCAAAGGTACTACTATTGAGTGAAGCTTCACCTAATCTGTAACTATGGATCTGGTTTTTCTTGCATAAGTGTAAAAGCTTACTTTTCTCACCATTGAATTTTATTTTGTTGGATAGGGCACAGTGTTCAAGTCTGTCGAGATCCATCTGGATCATAAGCCTATTTTCTGGGATGTTGGCTATTCCTGCCAGCTTAGTGTTGACAGCAAATTTGATGAGTTCCCCTTCTATTCCCTTATCTTAATCATTTATGAAGATACTGAAGAGTACTGAGACTGAAACAGAACTTTGGGATACCCCACTGTTTACTTCTTCCATGTACATGTAGTAATATTAAGGACTACACATTGAGTGCAGCTTGTCAGCCAATTATGAATTCATCTGATGGTGATACTGTCTATTCCACATTGTTCTACCTTATCAAGAAGTAGTCTGTGGTCTGTTTTGTCAAATGCCTTATTGAAATCCAATTATATTATTGTCCACAGTATTTTGCTCGTTCAGTAATTTAGTCACGTAGCCAAAGAATGAAATAAGATTTGTTGGCATGATCTCTTTTTGGCAAACCCGTGTTGGCTTGTGTTATAATTTTGCTTGTTTCTTGGTGTTCACAGATCTGTTCTTTGTGCAACCATGTTTTTTTTCTTCATTTTCTTTTTCGGTGGTATTAAGGTGCACTGGGCTTTTATAATCATATTTTTCAGAGTTTCCCAAGCTTTTTGAATTTACTTCTCCTTTAAGATCCTTCCCAATCGCTTTCTAAATTTGTTGGAATCAGCTGTTTTAAAGTCTAAGTCACTGGTTTGGTTATGTTCTATTGCAAGGATCCCCAACCCCGGTCTGTGGACCAGTACCGGCATGCCAGCAACCGGTCCACACAAACAAGCAAAGCCCCATCCGCGAGATGCAGGCAGCACACAAAACCATGCCCCCTCCGGTCTGCGTAAAAACGGAACCCGTCCCTGGTGCTCATAAGGTTGGGGACCTCTGCTCTATTGCTTATGCCTACATTATATTGAATTCCAATATGACGTGGTCACTCTTGCCCAAAGTTCCGGCAGCTTCAACCCCCGCTATCCCTACTTCTCTGTTAGTAAGAATGAGGTCCAGTATAGCTGTCCGTCTAGTTCCCTCCTCTACCTTTTGGGTGACAAAGTTGTTTGCTAGGTTGATCAGTAAGCTGTTCGACCTCTCACTTATTGCAGAGTTGGTCCTCCAGTTGATGTCGGGATAGTTAAAATCCCCCATTACTGTTGTGTGTTTTCTACATACATTTGTTAACTGGTTAGCAAACAGTTCATCTATTTCTTCTGCTTGGTTTGCTGGCCTGTAGTATACACCTATAGTAATGTCATTCTTTTTTTCTTTTATGTTGATCGATATGCATGCTAGCAGGCTTTTGTTCTTGGTTTTATGCATTTCTGTAGAGGTGTAGAGATTTTTTTTTTACATATAATCCAGTTGTGAGTTTCATCCAATCAAGTTTTGGTAATGGCAA